ATATCACGAGGCATGAAACAGATTCAAAGAGTTGATACGAAAGTGTCCAAATCATGGAATCACAATAGGTAATCAAGTGCAGTACTTCTATACCGGACTCTCACCACTGTCAAAATCTCAAGTGGATTCTTCTACTAGTGGATCGATCATAGAAAATCGATACAACAAACAATGGATTTATTTGAGTTATTTGGCACTACACATTCAATGCTTTAGTCAGAAAGAGTGGTACCACCGAGAGTATCTGGGATGTATGAATTAAATAGTAAAGTATCTACGAGCGCGTAGATGGAAACTTTGACAAAGAAGGTAAAGCTATTGGTGAAATCACAAACGAGTGGAGCACATGCCTTGATTAAATCTCAGACACTTATTCAAGAAAATTTGACTTTTGATAAGAGATTGTTAGCCTAATTAAGTTTTAGAGATTGAAGCAATCAAACTTATTGAAAAATCCTTATTTACTGTCACATTGAACTGCAATTGGTAAGATTTACCTAACTAGAGAGGTGAAAATAGTAGAAAACCAAATCTTAGTTCATACACTGAAAATATCGAAAATAGTAAGTTTATGGGTGTATAAATCTTATGAGTGATAAAAAATATATTTGACAATTGAGAGTCGAAAATTGAAACAATTTATGAATTCATAATGTTATAATTAATTCTTCACACGCGTGCATGTCGATTTTACAATGGAAAATTAGATTTTGATTTCTATATTATCATTTTGAAGTTGTTCATAGATTTGATATTATGTGAGTGTTTGGCACCCATTTTAATGGGAATAAAAATTTTGGAATAGTGATTGTTGGGAGAATGTTTGAATAAAAAGTGATGAAAAATTTTAGATTTGTGTGTTATATTATTTTATTTGAAAAATGTATGGTTGAAATGAAGAAAGATAAAAAAAATTAAAGAAGATGAGTGCCAAACAGGGACTATGATTTCAATCCCGAGATACAATGCGGGGAAGAAGTCAAAATGCGATTGAAAGAGGGGAAAGATTGCGGCTGAAGCAAGAGGTAAAAGAGGAGGGAAAAAAAAAAAGAAGAAAGAGGAGGGAGTCAATGAAGTTGGAATGAGAAAAGTCAAAAAAATAAAAAGGCAACATAAAGGAAAGAGAGAAAAAATGCAGAGAGAAAAGAGGAGAGAATGAGAGAGAAAAAAGAAAAAAAAAAATGAAAGGAGACGACAGACAGAGCAATTTCACGTTTCGTTAATTTTTGGTGATCTCGTTTCAATTTTTCGTGGCTTTATTTTAACAGTATGAATAACTAATTTTCATATTAGAGAAAAAATATAGTCGACTTGTGATCCTTTATTTTTCTATTCAAAATTTATATGATTTATTCTTTTATGTGTTGATTTTACTATGAATTTTAATGCATTGAATTAATTGATCATTAATTTAATGATTATGTGAGTCTTTTATGAATCGAAAGATGGGTTTGAGATTTAGATCATATAGTAAAATCTGCTAAATTAGTATAACGTGTAGAGATACCTATAAAAATAGAAGAATTCGATCGAACACTAAATTAGGTTATGAATATTGATTTATGAATTAAGGTGATCAATAGATGAAA